ATTAAGACATGTGCAACAACAGCTGGGCATCTTTATTGTTGGAACATTTCGGTTACACGGAAGGCTTCTTCAAATATAGAGGCACCAGGTGTAGTAGTGAAATGAGGATGATGTAATCAGTCCATCAATCTTGGAGAAATAGTATTTAAGGTGGCCACTCCCTCAGCTCGGATAATTACATCCCCTTGATTTCACTACTACACCTGCTGCCTCTGTACTTGACTGAGGAAGCCTACCGTGTAGGGGAAACGTTTCAACAATAAAGATACCCAACTGTGGCACATGCGTCTTAAACATCAACTTGTCGGTATTTTATGCCATTTTCAACATAACTATCAGGTACATACACACTGGTGACAGATCTCAAAAACTGAAAGAAATATCACCCAGTTTCCATTTACAATTTACGAATATGTTATGACGTGTTCCAGCCACGGTATTGTGACTTCTACACAATTTTTTATTCAGATATTAGAAGCACTTTTCGCCACCACTGGTGTCGACCTTCACGCTCTTAAGAACAAAATTTCTCCAAACTTTACCTTCACCATTAAAGGCTAAAATTTCTTTCTTTTTAACAGGGAAGTTTCACCGGGCTGTAAAAACCTTAGTAAATACGAGAGCTGGAAGCACAAACCCGGGATACTAGGACGATTTGGATACAGGGTGGGGGTCAGGGCCTAGGAGTGGCCATGATGCCCCTTTAACTCTTCCTCAATATTTACGTTATTTCCTTCTTTGTTAGATTCGAGAATTTATTTCCATTAATGTACACTTTGAGGGGAGGAGGTTGATCCAAGGAACTTAATTACCCCTTCATTTCCACAGATAAAACTTTATTACCGCTCACTCACCTCATCTCCCAGGAGCGGAATGAGCTGTAATTTAGCGCCTTCTGATGGATACAATAATAATAATAATAATAACTGAACTCAAGCATAGCCTATAGTATTCAAAATGTATGCATCTGATTGCTCAACCATTAGTGATATGCTAGTGCTTCTGTGAACAAAAACTAGAGAAAAAAATAGATTTCTATCCTGTTGAAAAACCGGTGATGTTAGAATAAGAATTAAAAGGTTTGATATGTTCCTACATCGTTCCTGCCTGTCTCGCTAAGACAGGCAAACCTTACGTGATGACAACTTAAAAGTCTCATCCAAGAATAAGTAAAAACTATATATACAAAATGAATAAAGTGTATAAATAAATACATGCACGCGCACGCGTTGACAAGGTACCTAAATTAACGAAAATAAGACGGCATTTTTTGAACAGATATCGTAAATTTGCTTATAACAACTACATGAACAAATTACTGTCTATAAGTGCACGTAGTTGTTGTTTGTTATAACCTATTTTCTAGGCCTTTTGTGTATCAATGTCTTTGAAGTATCGTCCTCAGGACTGATATGACAATGAATGAGCTACTTCGGCAGCGCTGCTGGTCTCAAATTTGGGCAGCCACTTCACACAAAATTATCTCTCCTGTATTTCGGTACGCAAGAAATATTGAGGAAACTGTTAGATTAAAAGTTTTAATTTGGTTAGGCTAGGTTAAGTTAGGTTAAAACAAATGAGGTTAAGTCACTGTATATTAACCTACATTACCGTACGATTGATCATCGACACCATGCCTAACCCTTTTAGGGTAGGGTAGGTGCCTGAGCCCGAGCTTACAGCTCACAAGACTGTCATTCCCATTTGCCCCCTTGGGGCGGGGATGGCAGACCAGAGAGGCCTAACTTGTGGCTAGGCCTGGGGACAATTGGTCCCAAAGATGAGGAGGTATTTGTGCCTCCTCCCATGGGAGACTTAGGTCTCAGACACTCCCTAAAGAGGGAGCCAAGGCCGGGCCACCACTTGGAAAAGGCCCGGGCCGGGAGAATACCGGCTAATCTTTAATAATAACCGTACGATTACCTGACAATAATGAAATTAAAATCAGAAAAGTGGTTTACATGTGGTAGCAGGGGACGGCGCGAAGCGTACAGACATCAGTATGCCTCTTCACACACGATAAAAAGTATGTGGAGGATAGTTTGCACGGTCAGGGAGTGAGGCAGGGGAGCAATGTGACAGGTATTTAGAGGCGAGCACCAGTGACTTAACTGTATATATGAAGCAAAGCAGTAACAGCCTGGATGATCAGGCCCTGTTCCACCATGAGGCCTGGTCACAGACCGGGCCGCGGGGGCGTTGACCCCCGGAACTCTCTCCAGGTAAACCTCCCTCCCTTTCGCTACCATATCGTCAAATTTTTGTTTCAATTTCTTATGCACACAACCTATCCTGTGTGATGGAATATAATTAACACAGCTGCACTTTTCTTCCAATGTAACTATCACGCAGCACAGAGCGGCCGACAGAAGACAGAATACAATCACACGCTATTGGTATTCTTTAGTTCAACAACAAAATGTTGGGTGCCGCACAGTGGGTGAAACGTATTTTGATGAAAAAAAAAATGGCCTATAAAATACTAATACAAATGGTGACCTTGAGAGAACTCTGTCGCGTATATTTCTTGAGACAGAAGTGCGCCTCAAGCACGGCTCACCACTACATGTAAATTGCTAGTAATCTACGAACGTGAAGAAAAATAATGATCACAGGAAGAACAAGAAGCGACCTTCTGGAGGTAATTCCCTATTAGGCGACAGTATTTTCATGTCTCGTCGGTGTGACTGAGAGGACAACCTATCACAACAAAAACATTATTCATTATTATATTACTTAATTATTTTTATCAGAACTATGAAAATCAATTATTAAGCATTATAATTTTACCGTGTTCCTTGAGTCAGGTCGCCTCTTTCTAGGGTTTCTTAGCTAATTAAATCTTTCTCGACGTAGATAAATAATGTCACAGGAAGAACAAGAAGCGACTTCTGAAGGTAATTCCTTTAGGCACAGTATTTTCAGTTCTTTGTGTGTACTGAGAGGCATGCTACAACAGAAAACATTATTCAATTATTTTACTTAATTATTTTACAGAACTCATAAATTATAAGCAAATTAACCTGTTCCTGTCGTCGTCTATTCTTTCAGGTTTTGAGTATTAAATTTTCCTCGTATCATACTATCAATTCCGGTATCCAAGCTCTTAAAAACTCTTCAATCCTTAAGTTCTGTTGTATGCTTGTGTTGGTGTGGCTAATGCTTGAACTGTATTGTGTTGGAGAGAAAAGGTGGCAAGAAGAAGAGAAATGAGAACGCGATATAATATAATATATAATATAAAGAATATAAAGCGAGTGTGTGGGTGTGGAGAGAGAGAGAGAGAGAGAGAGAGAGAGAGAGAGAGAGAGAGAGAGAGAGAGAGAGAGAGAGAGAGAGAGCAGCGCTTCACTAAGAGTGGAGGTGCCGCCACACTAACACCCCCAGCGCCCTCCTGGTACCAAGGTACTTGTAACAATCAGTGAAAATACGTAGCATGTCTGGTGTGGAGGTGATGGCTGTGGAGGTATTGAGGAAGGGAGAGGAAGTGGAAGGAGTAACAAGAAGAGGTAGAGAGATGGTGCAGAGGATGGAGGAGGGAAGAGAGTGTTACGCACTCTAATATACTTTTAAAATACAGAAATCAGGTTGTAAAGTAAAAGGAGACAAGTGCAACTAATGTGACATTTTATTGTGGCAACGTTTCGCTCTCTAGGAGCTTTGTCAAGCTCCTGGACAGCGAAACGTTGCCACATTAGTTGCACTTGTGTTCGTTTACTTTACATATTGTCAGTAATTCTACCAACATATATACAATAATCAGGTTAGATGTCACGTTATTTTGTAACTGCATTGTATATTTTTTCACGGTAAGTGGCACTGGCCAATACTGTCATTAGGTATACACATGTGACACTGACACTAAGCCTAAACCGTGGCAATCACCTTCCATTTCAGCCTAGAGCGTGGCACTCGCCTTCCATCTCAACCCTGAGCCTGGCACTCGCCTTCCATCTCAGCCTAGAACGTGGCACTCGCCTTCCATCTCAGCCTAGAGCGTGGCACTCACCTTCCATCTCGGCCCAGAGCGTGGCACTCACCTTCCATCTCAGCCCAGAGCGTGGCACTCACCTTCCATCTCAGCCCAGAGTCGTGGCACTCACCCTCCATCTCAGCCCAGAGCGTGGCACTCACCCTCCATCTCAGCCCAGAGCGTGGCACTCGCCTTCCATCTCAGCCCAGAGCGTGGCACTCGCCTTCCATCTCAGCCTAGAGCGTGGCACTCACCTTCCATCTCAGCCCAGAGCGTGGCAATCACCTTCCATTTCAGCCTAGAGCGTGGCACTCAACTTCCATCTGAGCCCAGAGCGTGGCACTCACCTTCCATCTGAGCCCATAGCGTGGCACTCACCTTCCATCTGACCCCAGAGTGTGGCACTCACCTTCCATCTGACCCCAGAGCGTGGCACTCACCTTCCATCTGAGCCCAGAGCGTGGCACTCACCTTCCATCTGACCCCAGTGTGGCACTCACCTTCCATCTGACCCCAGAGCGTGGCACTCACCTTCCATCTGACCCCAGAGCGTGGCACTCACCTTCCATCTGAGCCCAGAGCGTGGCACTCACCTTCCATCTGACCCCAGAATGTGGCACTCACCTTCCATCTGATCCCAGAGTGTGGCACTCACCTTCCATCTGAGCCCAGAGCGTGGCACTCACCTTCCATCTGACCCCAGAGTGTGGCACTCACCTTCCATCTGACCCCAGAACGTGGCACTCACCTTCCATCTGACCCCAGAGCGTGGCACTCACCTTCCATCTGAGCCCAGAGCGTGGCACTCACCTTCCATCTGACCCCAGAGTGTGGCACTCACCTTCCATCTGAGCCCAGAGCGTGGCACTCACCTTCCATCTGAGCCCAGAGCGTGGCACTCACCTTCCATCTGACCCCAGAGTGTGGCACTCACCTTCCATCTGAGCCCAGAGCGTGGCACTCACCTTCCATCTGACCCCAGAGCGTGGCACTCACCTTCCATCTGAGCCCAGAGCGTGGCACTCACCTTCCATCTCAGCCATGGTGAAAGTGTGTGCCTGGGCCGCCCTCTGCCCCACCTCACCCACGATCACCTTTCCTGCAACACAAACACCAGTTGTCAGTATCTGGTTATCACTCTGGTATCACAAGCTCATAGTTATTCATTGTGTTATCGCTTAATTATCAATCATCATAGTAACCTAGTTATTACAATTTCATAACTGGTACATTACATCAACATTCATGCCATGTGCACTAATTAACTCATCTAAAAGAGAAACAAAAAAATTTTTATATTTAATACAAAAATTTACATTACAAAACTGTAAGACTGCATATTACATTTTTCAATATTTCACAACCATTTCGATCATTACATGTTACAGCACATATCTGTTTAGATTTCCCAACAACACCAGCGTACGCCTAGTTTTCAGTGATGTGGGGCAACAAAAGCCTAAGCCTGGTCTTCAGTGATGCGAGGCGGCATCAGCCTACTCTTGCCGCCTCCTCAGTGGGCAACAGGTAACCATCCTCATTGCCCTACTAAAGTCTAACTTCAGACTGGCAGACTTCATTATCTCACGTTTGCAAACTATGGTATACGACTGGAAAACATGGCTAGCCTTTCTTCCCATGAAATCATATATAATAGGTAGCAACACACTGCAGGTGTAACTCGTATTTTAAAATAAAACATAAGTGAGAACAAAACTGATGATATTAGCGTTATCAGCAGGACTACCAGCACTCCAGGGCATAATGTGAGCTGAAGGAGGATACTAGAAAGTTCAAGACACCAGCACTACTGTACACAGAGCACAAGTGTGATAAAGGCAGCATGTTCGAGAAAACCAGCACTTCAATGAACAGAGAGAGCACAAGGATGATAATGACAGCGTGTACATCAAGAACATAAGCACTACAATACACAAAGTGAGCACAAGGATGATAATACGTATCAGCGTGTTCACCAGGGCAGGACCACCAGCCCAAAAAATCAAAGCAAGGACCAGATAGTTTTGCTCCCTTCGGCAGAGAACTTAAAGTATTAAAGATACTTCAGGTTTAAGGAAGCCATTAAACAGCGGCAGACAGTAGGTTTTCCTTGCCAGCTTAAGAGGCGGGGCCGGGACTCGACCTCAGCAAACAAATCGTTCAGTACAAATCATGAGCGCTTGCGCACATACTTCGACCAGCACTCTGACAGGGGAGAAAAAACTGAGCCTTAATTACTTCTGACATATGGGCGGAAATTGTCACTTTGCGAGTCGGAGGAGTCCAGGACCCCTTTAATTAGCGTCACCAGAGGCACTATTTAAAATGTCTTAATTAAGGAAGAGAGTCGTTATCTACAGTTTTCTTCAAAATTCACACGGCCAGGTGCCTTACTTTCTTTTATACTCAATTATCTGTTTGTTTGTTTGTGTACTCACCTAGTTGTGGCTGCAGGGGTCGATTCATAGCTTCTGGCTCCTGTGTGTGTGTGTGTGTGTGTGTGTGTGTGTGTGTGTGTGTGTGTGTGTGTGTGTGTGTGTGTGTGTGTGAGTGTGAGTGTGTGGTGAGAGAGAGAGAGAGAGAGAGAGAGAGAGATTGTTCGAGAGAGTACATCAAGAGGGTGTCAGAGTAGGGGAAAGCTGTCTCCTGTACTCCAGTTGTTTCAGAGGAGCTACTCTGTCCCACTTGGTTTGGATCTCCTTTTTTAAAATATCTACTCTTGAAACTGTGCACCGAGTTTGCCTCCACCACATTTTCAGCCAACTCTTTCCACTTTTCAACCATTCTAAGAGTAAAGAAATACCGTTTAAACATTTATATGGGTCACCCATTTTCAATTTCCACCAGTTTCCCCTTGCCCCTTCAATTTGGTCAATCCATATCTTATTAATTACTTATAATATTTTAACTTTCACCCATTATACTTGAGAAAGAGAGGAGAGGTAGAAGTGTTACGAATGAACAAACGCCAGTTTTTTTTTTTATTGTACTCTTCAATGTACGTGGAAATTGGACAGGCATTCTGGCGCAGGTTACTGGGCGGATCCTGTTACGTGATGAATATGCTGACTGGCTGGTCTTCACTCAACACCGAGGTCGCCCTTGTTCAAACTACAACAAATATATCGACGAATAAAAAAAAAATCTTCGCAACAATTTGCTAATATGAATCATATAAACTCTTGAGTCCCTGCCTACGCACTTTAACTGGTATGATTTATTACCTGTCCTCCTGGGCTGTCATATCTACTAATAAATCCTAGTATTGAACGACTGTCAATAAATAAACGTGAGTGCACGGGGATTCGAAACATGTTCCATGAGAGTTGCAGGCCCAGCGCTGTAACCATTCAACCATGAGGGTTTTAAAAGGATGATCTCACAATCAGCGAGAAAAAGAGAAAAAGGAGGGGGGAGCATGCAAGAAGGGGTGGGGAGAACAACATCCGTGGTCCACCTCACACATTAACAATCTACCCTACTATTTGTCTGCCAATGCACAAAAGAGACTATTTCCTGCAAGCATACAAGCATGTCTGTTAAAAAAAAAACATACAATACAAAATGCTCATATAATTTATTCAGGTGTTACCAACCTGGAGGGTATTCTGGGGATCAACGCCCCCGCGGCCCGGTCCACGACCAGGCCTCCCGGTGGATCAGGGCCTGATCAATGAGGCTGTTACTGCTGGTCGCACGCAGTCCAACGTACGAACCACAGCCCGGGTGATCCGGCATACGACTTTAGGTATCCTCCACTTATCCTCTTTGCAAGACAAACAGGGTATACTGCATAATATGCAAAGCAAAAACTGAGCGATGGCAATTGTAAACGACTTTTTGCAGTAGTTCAACCGGGGTAAACAACGCGGGCAATCAAGACAGGCAGCTGCCGGAAGACACTCTTATTGGTTTACCAGGTTCACACCGCTTCCAAACACACACGTATCCCACATTTAGGAAAATACACAGCTCAAAATTGATAGGTAAACAGAGTATTAATATGTATGGGGGATGGCACTTGCTTAAGACGGAAATTTTAGAGTGACGGTTAGGTCATACAGGTGCCAGGGATTGGGAGATAATCTGTATGGTACCAGAACACCCGCTTCAAAAAAGCTAACCAATGAAAACTTCTCAAAAGAATAACATGTAAGAAGATACTTATCTGGGAGACTTGATTTAGAATCAGAAACCCAATTGAGTAGATATCGACGGCGCATACCTCTGACTGGTTTCAAGAATTTTTCTGCTCTTAGCCCGGCCTGAGGCCTGGCTACCCTGACAACCGTATGATCAACTATGCTGTTGCCGTCTGCGGCGGCCCACAAGCCTACATAGCCACCAAACACAGGTTATCTAACGCATCACGCAATTTTATCTTGAAAAAGTCTGAGCTGGCAATATTTCTTACATCTGCTGGTAGAAGAGTGAAGTCATCATTATGCTGGTTTTGGGACTAGTCCGGGTGCAAACCACTGGACCCTCCCGCTTCACACACGGAGGGCCCGGGTTCGATTCCCGGCGGGTGGAAATTCCGACACGTTTCCTTACACCTATTGTCCTGTTCACCTAGCAGCAAATAGGTACCTGGGTGTTAGTCGACTGGTGTGGGTCGCATCCTGGGGGACAAGATTAAGGACCCCAATGGAAATAAGTTAGACAGTCCTCGATGACGCACTGACTTTCTTGGGTTATCCTGGGTGGCTAACCCTCCGGGGTTAAAAATCCGAACGAAATCTTATCTTATCTTATCTTATCTTACATGTCTGGTCAGTTGGGGACCCGCACTTAGGCCACATATACCATATCGTGACGGGTCTAACAGTTTAAGGGATCTTTGCCAGAGCTCGCAAATGGTATTTCATTCTTCATCCCTGTAACCCTAAAATGTAAATGTATAAGGGAGTCTTGTTATATATAAATCTGTTTTACCTATATCGCGCATGCGTTTGTATGGGGATGGGGAGGAGGGAGGGGTAAGGCTGGTGCCTCAGATGTGGTTATATTAAACAGAAGCTCCTAATTTGTAATTTCAACACGAGTTTGCAAATGAAAACGGTCAGCATCGTCAAAATATTTACGCCCAAACTGGTGTTAAGTAGTCCAGAGAGTGGAGGGAGGGACAAAGGGTGTAGAGGGGATTTATATATACTTTTTTTAATTAACATTAGGTGCACGGAGCCTTTTACCCATCAATTTAATCACTGCCAAAATAAAAAATAAAAGTTTCTTACATACAGGACTGAAGTTGTCTAACCCATTTTTCTCTGGATAGGACCTACAATAGCCAGCTCATACACACAGGTACCTATTTTTACCGCAGGAGCATCAGGGGTGTAACAAATCTTTCTTAATGTTCCTCTATGACAGGGAACGAGCTCGGGACTTTGTGATCGAGTCGAATGTTCTCACCAGTGAGCTACGTGGCACCATTGGTTGAGGATAGTGAAGGGAAGAGTGAGGAAAGTGAAGGACAGAGGAAGAAATGAGGGTTGAAAAGGTGAGGAAGAGCAGTGAGGAGGGAGAGGGAAATGAGAAATGAGATGGCGAGACTGGAATCAAGGAGACATGGGAGGAAAAAAAAAAGATGAAATATATGTGGGGAAGGAGATGGAAGGGAAGGGGGAGTTGAAAGGGGGAGGAGATGAGTGGTGGGAAGGAAGGGGAGGGGAAGGGGACTGCGTGTGTGTGAATGAAACACTACAACAAGCACTGTTACATCATCTTACTCACATCCATCCCCTTTCATCAATTCACATTCCCTTACCTCCCAGCCTTCACTGGAGACTCAGCTCTCTCTACCACCCCTTATCCAGAATTCCATACCAAACTCAAACATCAATGCCATTTTATAAATAGTATTACAATACCGACGAGGTGATGAGTCAGAAGACATGTACAACAAACAAACAACTAACTTTATTTCTATGAAGCAGAGTACAGTATACAACTAACATTGGTGTAACTGACATGTAGTATAAACTGCTTTACAGAAAGCCCCTTGTTATGTAGAGCGCTTCTGACAGCCTTAAAATTAACTTCTAATTACAAGACACCGAGACAATTACAGTGGTTTAAGAGAAGTCTGCCAGATTT